AGAGAGAGAGAGAGAGAGAGAGAGAGAGAGAACAAGAACTACTATACGATATAAATTCAAATTTATGTAAGACTTTTGAAAGCAAATCCTTTACGACAGGAATATAAAACAAATTCTTGATTTATATACAAACAAATCACATATTCTTTGTTCAAATATAAGTAATGTTTTTAGTATTTATTTTAATAGTTTTAAAAATTACACTTTAAACAAAAGGTACAAAATATGGCACAAATAAAACTATTTTACGCAAAACTTCAACAATAGTAATAAGTTTTAAAAATATAGAAAATGTGAATAAATTAACAATAATACTGTTTTACAGTATATTTTATTAATTTAATGTATTTAAAGTTTGTTTTATGATTAAAAATTAAAGCAAATATGCTAATGGTTTTAATAACACTTGAATACATGTTATTTTTATATGTTAGTTACTTTTATGCATTATTTTAATTATAATGGTAAAACAAGAGCATACAAATTTTATAACTAAAACCTTACCTTGCTTATGTTTAATATACTAATTTAATAAGAGTTATTATATTGATAAATTATAATCAATAAACTTCAATACGTAAAAGCAACTAATATTTGATTAATAACTGGCTGTATTGGAACATAAGTGGCTGTATTTGGAAACATTTTATTAGAGCACAATATTGTAAAGTGTTTAAAATTATTATTTATTTGAAATTTCGATAAAATTAATGCAATAAATTTTTTAAATCATTTATGAAATTATATTTATTATATTAAATGTGAACTTTTAAAAACTTACAAAAATTAGTTTGAAATTGTTTACAATTTATATGACTGTAAAATCTCAAACTTAATAAAAGGAATGTAATTGTAATGCAAAACACGAGAGGAAAACCATTTAATTAAAAAATGAAAAATGTAATAATTAAAAAACAATTAAATCATAAAATAATACATTCAAACAATTCATTACAATGTAATGATTATATCCATTGGCGTAGAAAATAAGTCAATTTAAAACCAAACCAAACGATTCAAGTGATCGGCTTTGCGTTTAGATGACTCCAAAAGACCAATATATTCACAATCGGACACAGAATTCAAGAAACGGACAATATTTGTATCCCTTTCGTCGGCGCTGTTGACCTTCTTTGGACTCGTATTCAACGGACGGATCAGTTCTGTGAACGACTCAAACCAGTCATACATATTGATTACGGATTGGCTCTCAGAGAATATGGCAAAGAGTGTGTGAAAGTCAGTCTCCGATCGTTTTGAATCGTTCAAAGGTGTGGACAAACTGTTTAACGTATCGTTTCGTTGGTCCACAAAAATGTGCGGCTTTACTGACTCTATGGCGTCAAAGAAGAGCACTTTACTCAATGGACACGACATGGGATGAGTCGACGTATCTCTTAGCGTGTGTTCAATCAGATCTATGGTATCGTTCTTCCAGACGTCAAATTTAGACAACGCTTTCGGTGTGTTAACCGGTTTAAGCGTTTCCTTCCACTGCTGGCGAGTCTTGGATTTGGATAACTTTGACTTCAGAGCCGAGACTTCCATCTTCTCGACCATAACCTCCGGTTCGAGCTGTGAGTCGGCATCGATTGAAATCAATTCCTGGTAACGGCTTTTCAACGCTTCACTCAACGGCTGCACAGTTTGATCGCCACTCAAACAATTGTCTAACAAATACAACCATTGGGTTTGCGATAATCTATTCAATGAATCAATAACTGGACTGAACTTATACGATGTGTCCAACGAATTGGCGTAGAGTTGCACTAAATTCATGTCTTTGCAGCCAATGAGTCCATTAATTAACTTCAATACAAGTTTTAAATTATACACAAATCGATTGTGTGTTGAAATAAATGCCGACATTTCAGTGGTTATGCTTTTCTTCAATTCGGTGTCGTTTAGCAATGGATTCAAAAGTTGTGAATCTCTTAAAAATTTCAGTTCACGGGAATCAATGGTTTTAATGTAATTCTTAAGCTTCTTAGGCGTGGATTGACTCAGAAATGACAATTCGTTTGCGTAAAAGTGACAAAACAGTGGATATTTGATAATATGTTGAATGTTTTGAATGGAAAAATCAAATTTGGCGAACATTTTGAGCATAAAATCCAAGACATTTGGTCCCAATTTAAATGTTACGTCAGACGCGATGAACGCTTCATTAATTATCTCATCGATCACAACACGACCGGACACTGTTTGGAAGTGATGGACGAGTAGATAATCGGTGGCACTCGAGGGCAACAAATACTGCAATGAAGTCGTTTCGTTGGATTTACTTATGATTAAAATGAAGGCAATGTTTCGCATGTATTCCTTGAGAATCAGTATTAAAGTGGAGACCAATTGGTGGCCACAGTTCTCGATGTCGTCCAGAAATACAACAATCGGCGGACAGAAGTTATTGTCATTTGTTTTGAGCACATTTTCCTCATATATCTTAAATAGTGAGCCAAATGTCAAGCGTTTCAGTTGAATGTCGTCGAGACCGGCAGTGCGGACGACATCGTCGGTCATTATGGCATCGCTGAAGGCTTTGAAGATCGCACTCATGGACGCCGTTTGGGCGCAATTCACGTACACTACCGATGAGGTCAGGTCTTGAATGGTGTCCACAAGAAGATCGCAAATGAATTTGTGTTCACTTGAATTGATGCCTAAATACAGATCACACGAGAGTTAATATCAATTAATTTATTGATTGTTTAAATCAAATATCAAACAAAGAGTTTACCGATTGATAGCAAAGCGGTGGGAATGAGACCAACATTTGCCGACAATTTGGTCGCAAAACTGGTTTCTCTCATGCGATCCGTTAGACAATTGTTGGACACGAATGTGAACAACGATTGCATCAGAGGTGCGAACATCTTATCCCTGGCGGCGGTTATCTGGCCGTCAAATCTGTCCATCAGTTTATGTAACAGTCGTTTGCGTTTCAAATCAAAACCACTTCGGATGCCATTTGTCTGACAACTGGTCGCCGATTGTTTGGTCGGCGACGACAACAACCTCTTGGACGGAGACCTCTTCGCGGGTGACTTTATTGGCGACCTCTTTGTCGGTGACTTTGCGGGCCATCTCTTCGTCGGTGACTTTACCGGTGAGGCGGCGGCCGTCGGACGGAAGTATTGGCACACATTTGTTGAGCAATCATTTGATGACATTATCGGCGGATAATTGGGTGAAAATCGGGTGACAAACGGATCAGATGTTTGACACAAAAAGACAAACACAAAGACAATACAAAAAGAGCGCAAAATTCACAACAAATACATTGAATGGGTATTTAAACGACACGTGCTTTGAGTCAATCCAATGATTACGTCCGCCAATAGGCATATGTTTGGCAACCCTTTGACAGCCATTCAAACGGCCAGTGATTGGCAATAATATTGACGTAATTGATGGACACATCTGTCCATTGAGTTTAACATTGAAAGTGTATTTAAAGTCAATTTTGCATTGAATTGAATGTGTTTTGAAAGTGAAAAATAAAAGTGAACTTTAAATGTATTTTTGAATTTAAAAGTCAATCATATATTGAATGCCATTATATTTCGAGGCATTGAAAGCTTCACATGAATGCAGTGATTGTCAGACCAGAGGTTGTGCTCACACTATAAGCGCTTTTGCCATTTGATTGCAAACTCAGCCCACAATTCACACCACAATTGCATTGTGTTTTGCAGACACTTCTTGTGGTCACGTCTTTGCCTGTCATTCACTACTCAGTCGTCGACAACAACTAAATCAAAGTAAGTGTTGTTTTTTACCATATATTTTATCACACGTTATATAATGTACTGATAATACAGTACTGAATGTCTATTACTGTTAACCACGATATGAATAGCGCTTTCAAGTAGTGGTCGATAAGCGGTTGTGATATAACAGTAAAATTGCATTGATTTTTGATGTATAAATGTATGTAATTATAGGTTTATGTACGGTTGAAAATGCCTACTAGGCATTATGCCCACTGGGCATATGCCTAGGCATAAATGCCCGGCATTTTGGGCATATATATTTCATGCCCAATTGGGCATATAAT